ACGAGGAGATGCCTGTGGAACATGCAAGCGAAAATGACGAACAGTCATTCATTCAACAATCAGGTACTGAGCACCTGATATATGTCAGGCACTGTTCTAGGTGCTCGAGTATATCACAAGTGAAGGAAAAAAAAAGAAGAACCTTACCCTAAAGGAGCTTACTTCCTAGAGAAGGGCACAGTAAGAATAGTAAGTAAGTGAGTCATGTAATAGATTGGAAGGTGATATGTGCTATAAGCAAACAAACAAACAAATAAATCAGGCAACATGAATCTCAGGAGTTCTGGGCAGTGCTGAGTGAGTTGAAATTTTAAATAGGGTGGTCAGGGCTGGATTCACTGAAAAGTTGGCAAGGGTCTCGTGCTCTGGGGTGAGGTTTATCTATTAAATTTGCAGTAATACCTGCTATGGAGTTCCGAGGATTAAATGAGATGGAAAACGTCCGGCAAGTATGTAGTTGCTAAAAAAATGTTTTTAAACCACTTCCCCACCCTAAACTGCTGTAGGGCTTTAATCAGTCCGAAACAGGCAAATTTCAAGATAAGCAGAACGTTAGTGAGTGCGCATCCCTTCTTTACCACGAAGACATGAAAAGTTTCCTTCTTTGTTGCTTTGCTATTAGTAAGGATGAGTTCTGAGTCATTACCCATAAGAAGTGCTGGAGAAAGAAATCAGAGTTGCTTAGACAGAATTATAGGGCAGGAAGAAAATCCCGTTGGGTCCATATAAAAGTGCCCCTGGATGGGGTGAGGGTGGGAGTGAGGGGCTGCGAGCTTTCTGCTTTACATGAAGTGGAACAGTGTTAACTTGAAGTCAGCTGTGGAAAGTTAAAGATGTATATTGCAATCCTTGGAGCAATCACTGAAAATTTCATACAAACAGGTATTTAATTTAATGGATTAAATTAAAATTAAATTCAAAGCAATTCTGAATTAATCCAAAAGAGTTCTGGAAAGGGGGTACGGAGTCAAAAAAAGAAAAGGAACAGAGAGAAAATAAGTAGTAGAAGACTAGGTCTAAATCCAGTCATCTCAATAATTTCTATCAACTGTTAAAGCACTAAACATTCCAATTAAAATACAGAAATGGGGGTGCCTGGGTGGCTCAGTGGGTTAAGCCTCTGCTTTTGGCTCAGGTGATGATCTCAGGGTCCTGGGATTGAGTCCCGCATCAGGCTCTCTGCTCGGCAGGGAGCCTGCTTCTCTCTCTCTCTGCCTGCCTGTCTACTTATGATCTCTCTCTCTGTCAAATAAATAAATAAAATCTTTAATAAAATAAAATACAAAAACTGTCATAATGTCAGAAAAGCAAAATCCAACTATATATGTTGTTTCCAAGAGAAACATTAAATGTAAGGAGACAGATAAGCTGAAAGTAAATGGATGGGGGAAAAAAAAAAAGATGTACTGTGCAAATGGTAAGCATAAGAGGGCTGGAACTACTATCAAAGACGACTTCAAAATTTAAGAGCATTACCAGAGATAAAAAAGGATATTTCATAAGAACAAAGGGTTAATACATCACACACATAATATATGTGTGCCTAATAATGGAGCTTCAAAATACACAGACGAAATCTGAGAACTAAAAAGAGGAACAGAAAAATCTACTGTCCTAATTGGATATTTTAACACCTATTTCTTAACAATTCATGGAACATTTAGATTAAAAAAATCCCCCTCCAAACAAGAAACCCCAAATCTATAAAGACATATAATATCTGAGAAACACTACCAACCACTGTGACCTAAGTGACATTGATAAAATACTACGCCAAATACATGCAGGATATTATGTTCTTTCCAAGAACACGTTACATATACCACGATAATTCGTAGGCTGGATCATAAAATAAATCTCAATAAATTTAAAAGGATGAAAATTACACAATAATGAATTAAATGAGAAAGGAATTAAACTAGCAATCAAGAAGAAAAATATCTAGGAAAACCTCTGATACTTGCAAAGTTAACAAATATCTATAGGTCAAACTAGGAATCAGGAAATGCAATGTACTGCACAGGGAATAGTCAATAATTTTGTAATGACTTTGTATGGTGACAGATGGTAACCACACTTATCATGGGAATCATTTCATTATGTATAAAAATATCAAATCACTATAATGTATACCTGAAAATAGGATATATCATGTCAATTAGACTTCAATTTAAAAAAATCATCAACAAGTATGCTCACTGCACATGATGCAAAAATCTGAAAAAATCTGAAAAACAAAAACAAACAAAAAAACCCAAAACCTTCAAATGTTTATCAATAGAGTACGTTCATATGATGGAATATCATAGTCAATGATATGAAATGAATGAAAATTACATGCACAAAAATATAAGGAAAATAGGAAAGAAAGAACTCAATATTTTAAGTAGACGAAAGATTTGAACATTTTACAAAGAAGAGATACAGATAGGGTGCCCAGGTGGCCCAGTCGGTTAAGCACCCGCCTTCAGCTCGGGTCATGACCCCAGGGTCCTGGGATCGAGTCCTACATCAGGCTCCCTGCTCAGTAGGGAGTCTGCTTCTCCTTCTACCCTTCTCCCTTCTCATGATCTCTCTCTCTCACCTTCTCTCACAAATAAATTGTTTAAAAAAAAAAAGAGAGATACAGATAGCAAATAAACTATCATTAGTCAACAACATTAGTCATTAGGGAAATGTAAATTAAAACCATAATAAGATACATGAGGACTAAAAATAAAGTCTGACCATACCAATTGTTGGAGAGAATGTGTAGGAAATGGAGCTCTCATACACTGCTGAGGGGAAAGTAAAATGTTATAACCACAATTGGCAATTTGCTAGAAAGTTAAAGACACCTACCACATGGTCCAGCCATTCTACTCCTAGGTATGTACCCAAGAGAAAATAAATCTTATGTCCGTAAGAAGCCTTACACACAAATGTTCTCAGCAGCTTGATCTGTATAGCCCCAAACTGGAAGCAACCTGCATGTCCATTAACAGGTGAATGGAGAAACAAATTGGGATACAGCCACTCTCAGAAGTACTGAGAAATAAAAAGGAATGAAAATGTGGTAACATGAAAGAAGCTCAAAATAATTGTGCTGAAGAATCAAATAAGAACACTATACACTGTGAGTCCATTTATATAAAACTCTGGAAAATGCAAATTAATCTATAATGACAGAAAGTAAAGCAGTGGTTACATTCCCCTGGAAGGAACCAGGGGAGGAGAAAGGAATCACAAAAGGGCAAATGGGGGTGATGGAGATGTGTATTTTCTTAATTATGGCTATGGTTTCACAGGAATATACATATGTCAAAATTCAGCAAAGTACACACTTTAAATACATGCATTTTATTTTATGTCAGTTATGGCTCCATAAAGTGTTAAAAAAACAAACTCAGCAACACCAAAAATGTTATTTAGGAGCACAAACACAAATGAGAAAATTACAAAGTAACGCAAAGGGATGGTTAATTCAAAATTCAAAACAGCAATTACCTAGAATGGAGGAAAGGGAGAAAGGCACCAGTAGGAGAAGTACATAAGGACCTTGTCATGTTCTGGCCCAAGTAATATTCTATATATAAAACTAGGTGCTGGGCATCTTACTATCATTCCTTTGTGTTTTATACATATGATGTATTTCACAGTTTAGAAAAACAGAGTGTCCGTGATGAGGACCACAAAGGAGTGGACCTCTCTATTAGCTAACCCCGACTTCTATCATTTTGGGGAAGGACATCCTCAAAACCTTTCAAATAAAAGTTCTTTCATAACTGATCTGTGTGATCTGCTCTTTGAGATTGATAGGTTATCAATTTCAAAGAAGAAGAAATGGAAAGATCGAGCAGATTATATTTCTGTGCCTAGTAAGTTGTTGCCTATGTTCTCACAACCTTGGCATGGGGTAAATAATATAGGTTAAGTACTTACCAGTTGGAATAGTTATCTTCCTTGCACTATCTCTACAAGATCATGCAGCTCTCTTCCTCATTTTTGTTTACTTGGTTGTATCTTTACCAACCATCAAAATACAAGCTATAGTAAATTCACGGCTCTCACCCCCCTCACTTCGCTTGACAACAAATTCAGCTGTAAGGAAGGTCTTGGAATCTCACTTCAGATCATCGCACCGAATAAGAAGGAAGGAACTCTGTGTGCTTCCCACGTAATTTAAGAGCCAAACAAGTTTAGGTTTCAGTGGGAAAAGGAAAGGCTTGGCTCTAGGATGAGCTATTTTGGATGAGTTGCACATGTCCTCTGCAACTTCATCAGTGAATTTTTATTCAAAAGATCCTCGAAGAATGTGGTGCCAATCCACGACAGTCACTGCAAAACATACCCTTGGCTGGATTTTGTTTTGCTTGGTTTTTGCGTGTTGGCTTTAGCGACTGCCCTCAGTCCCCACCCCTGTAGAGCAGTCCGCCTGAAAGGATCATTTAATGTGGCGCCAGTGCCTCTCAACACTGGTTTGCTGAGAGTGTGTACCTCCTGGAGGTGATTTCAACCTCCTGCAAGCGTCCCTGAGGCCACTGACTCCAAGGGAATATTAACAAATACATCCTGAATGTCTTCAACCTACACGGCTTCCCCAAGCTCGAGATTTGCATAGCCCCTCCCCGCCCTTGGGGAAACAAGGTCACGCCCTCCGGGGAACGATGCCACTGGGCCTTTAATAAAGCGACAGCCGCCTTCCCGCCTCCCCCCGGGGCGCGCACTTCCGGCCGCGGGGGCGTTCGGAAGCGCGCCCCGCCAGTCTCCACCAACCAGCGGCTCCGCCTGGCCGGCGCGAGTACGCGCGCGCACACTTGTGCGCAGGTTCGAATCTCCGCCGCTTCGCGGTAGCTCCCCAACGTCCGGCAGTACTTCGAGCGCAGGGAGGGCAGCGCTCGGGGTTGCGCCGGGCCCAGCCGCCCCGCCCCCTCCGCCCGCCCCACCTGCCCGGCGCTCCCTCGCCCTGGGCTGGTTCTCGCCCGCCCTCGCGCGCCCCGCCCTCGCCCTCCGCCCGCAGAGTTATCTGCGCTCGGCCTCCCGCGCCTGGCGGGCTCCGCCCGAGGCTCCGGGGCCCATGGCCAAGCGGCGTGCGGCCGAGCCGCTGACGTTCCACGTGCCTTGGAAGCGGCTCCTGCTCTGCGACTTTCCCGAGGAGCCGCCGCCGCCCCCGCCGCCGCTCTGGATCCCGCCGCCGGGGGCTTCCCATCCCGGGCAGCCAGTCGGCGTCCCGGAGCTGCCCCGAAAGCGCAAAATCGACGCGGGGGCTATGACTGAGCCTTCAGCTTCGCCCAGCAAGCGTCGCGACGGCCGGGACAGCATCGTTCCGGGCGGCGTGCAGCGTGAGGGCCGAGGCCTGGAGACTGGCGAGCCGCCGCTGCAGCAGCCTCCGGTGCGGCCTCGCGGGCCAGGGGAGGAGCCCCGGGGCGCCCGGCCCCCGAGGGGCGGTGGCGACGACGGGGCGGGGCGCACAGAGCCCCGGCAGGGAGACTGGGGGGCAGCACCGCGCCAGGTAGGGGCCGGGGGCTGGCTGACCTCTCCAGAGGGCGGGCGGCTTTAGGGGACTGGGGGTCACCCTTAACGCAGCCCCTGCGCGCCCCAGGAGGGAACACATCGTGACTCGTGTTCTTCAAGACGTCCCCGAAGGCGAAAAGCCGGGGTCCCTGCTGCAGGAAGGACTCGGACTCCCGGGCTGCACAGGAAGGGCCCCAGAGCCCTTGACCTCATGCTTGGCAGGTTTGGGGACTCTCCCCAAACCTGCCAAGCATGAGGTCAAGCACCTGAAAGCACCTGGGTAAATGAGGGGGTGAGGTAGACGTGGGCTTGCACTGGCGGTGCCTGTCCTGTGCAAGAGGAAAGCGGGAGTGTGGGTCACGACGGACTTGAGCTTTCTTAACCGGGAACCGCGATAGGTCTGTTCAACGACAAATGGAGAAAGGTGTAGCGCACCTTCCTTGGCTTAACGGTGATTTCTTCTACAATTCATGATAGATTTCTTTCTAAGGAGAGTGACCAATGTGGTGGCCATCAGTTGGACGGCCTGTAGGCATGGTAAGCACTTTGGTAGAGAGGAAGGAACCCCCCCCCCGCCCCTGTTTTGGGAAACGGCATTTAATAACTCACAGTGTTAGATCGCATCCTGTGAAAAAGGATTATTATTGAAAATTAATTTCGACCCTAAAGTAAAGCGTCTATACTAGGATCATATGTAAGAGTGTTAAGAGTTACTATTTTGAGGGGAACGGGCCTGCCCCATCTCTGCACCTAAGATCTGATTTGTCTAGATCTGCGCTCTTCAACATGGCCTCCGCTAACTGTGGGACAACTGAAAACTTGAAATGTGGCTAGTCCAAAGGGAGGTGTGCTTTCAGTGTAAAATACTCTCTAGATTTCAAAGATCTCAAAAATTTTTGTATTGATTACCTATTGAAAGAACTTGGAGATACTGGGTTGAGTAAAATGTAATGAAAATTTACCCGTTGTACTTTTTTAGTGTGGCCACTAGAAAAATTTCACAGTTTGTCTGTGGCTGGCATTAGTAATATTTATTGGACAGGTTTGGCCTAGACTTAGGAATTAAAGCTGGTTTTTGGCAGTTCTGGGTTGACTTACCAGAAGCTTTGGCAATAGAAAGACCAAATGTAGGGCTCAGTTCACCAAACTCTTCAAGCACTACATCGTGGGATCCAGCTCACATTTTTCCATTGTTTTAAGTATATTATGGAGAATTTACCAAATGCTTTGCTAGACAAAAAGTGAATTAAGGTTCCTTTGGCAGGACTTCTTGGTGAAAAACCCAATAAAATGAGAATTTGATAGTTAGGAAAGAGCTTTTTCTGTGGTTGTGAGAAATTACCTTTGGACAGTAAACGATGAGCATTTCTGGATGAAATTCTAAATTGTAAATATTTCCACCCCCAGTTGTCTTGGAATTTAGAAAACAGGAGGGGTGTTTTAAGACTTCGGATTGCTTTTAGATGTTCAAAATCTGCTTACTTAACAACCAAATGATAGCCCTTATGTTTTGAAAACAGAATAATTAGAATTTACAGTTATATTCGTGTGTTGCCAGTGGCAAACCTTAAAAAAAAAAAAAAAACCAGAATGATAAGTCATCCAGACCTATTTGATACAGAGGTAACTACTGTGCACTTTGAAAACTTTTCCTCTTAGACCATTTTGGTACCCCACCTATAAATAGGCTTGTCTTTTCTACCAGAACATACTGACTGCAGTATGCCACAGATTGATAAGAGGAAAATATGGAAATTGTAGGTAGGCAAGGAAGGAGAATTTTTTTAGCCGACTGACAGAGAAACCTTCTTAGAATCTTTCAGACACACCGGTATCTTTCACAGCAGTGACTGCATTTGGCAGATCTCTGCTTCCTAGTCACCGTAGGCCCATGGCGAGGACTAAGCTTGGCCGAAGGCATACCTTCGTCAAGAAGACAGTCCCTCCTCTTTTCTTTTGGCAAAAGTCCAGGAATCCTTACGTTTCTTCCTTTTGTTGGTTTTGTTCGTGAGCTGCTTGTCTTCTGCAAATTTAAGAGAGGAACATGTTTTCTCCAGCTCCCTTCTTTCCTGCCTCCAAAGATGGAGGTTTTGGGTTTTAAGAGATTTACAGTGAATTACCAAGATACAGGTTATGATGAAAACATGGAGAAGCTAAAAAGGCTCTTCAATTCATGTAGTAAATGTCTCTCCTTGGTTCCTGGCACTCAGAATAGTCCCTATCCTCACCCTTGGAATCTCATTTAGGAAAAGTTTCTCAAATATGTCCTTTCTACATTGAGGATTCAGTTGAGGCAGAATAATGATACCTTTTTTCTGTCCTAGAACCTCAGAATATTTTTTGAGTTGTCTCAGATGGCTTTTTGTTGTTGTTGGATTTTGTCTGTTTTTGTTTTGTTTTGGTGTTTTTAACCAGAGAACTGAACTAAAACCAGGTATTACTTAATTAAATATTTATGTGTTTTCTCATGATGGTGTCACTTCATGCAGATTCATTACTCTGCTGGCCCTGTTAGCTTAGCTATTTTTAATGGAAAGTAAGCAGAAATGTTTTTTTTTTCTATTCCTAAGAAGAAAAATGAATGATTCATAGTTTTCTTGGGATATAATATCTACCAGTATTGAGCAATGACAGTACTAATCCTGAATTTGAAAGAGTCCTGGGGGCAGTAGGTGTCTCAGTTGGTTAAACATCAGACTCTTGATTTTGGCTCAGGGTTGTAAGATCAAGGCCCAAATTGGGTTCTGTGCTGGGCATGAAGCCTGCTTTAGATTCTCTCTCCCCTTCTCCTGCATCCCCCCATCCATAAATATAAATCCCATCCATAAATATAAATAATAAATAAATAAATAAATTATTATTATTATTATTACTATTTTTTTTAAAAGAGCCCTGCCTTGGGGCGCCTGGGTGGCTCAGTGGGTTAAGCCGCTGCCTTTGGCTCAGGTCATGATCCCAGGTCCTGGGTTCGAGCCCCACATCGGGCTTTCTGCTCAGCAGGGAGCCTGCTTCCTCCTCTCTCTCTGCCTGCTTCTCTGCCTACTTGTGGTTTCTCTCTGTCAAATAAATAAATAAAATCTTTAAAAAAAAAAAAAAAAGAGCCCTGCCTTTTACCAGTGAGGAAACAGACTTAGATCAAGGTCAGAGTTAGTGGGTGGTGGAGTTATCATGCAAACCCAGGTCTGTCTGGTGGCAAAGTTTGTGCTCTTAGCTACTAGGTTACACTGATGTCTTTAAATGATCTTTTCTGGGCTCATATTTAAAGTAGGTAATTTGAACAGTAGGTTTTTCCCAAAAGGTGGAGATCTTGACCCTTGTTTTTAACCCTGTTTGCTTATCAAAATTAATTTTGGAGGGGGACATCATTTGGATTATTACATTTTTTTATCCCATTATAAAGAAATTCCAAAGACACTCTTAATTCTCTAAGCCTTAGTGTCTAAGGCACTCAGTGTACTTCCTACTGAGATTTCCTGATAGGCTTGTGCAGTTCAGTAAAGTGACTGGCGACACGTGGCTGGCTATTAAGCGTTGAAATGTGGCCAGTCTGAATAGTGCTAAAAGTGTAAAATATTTGCCAGATTGTGAAAACTTAGTATGACAAAAATAATGTAAAATACCTCATTAATTTTTAAAAATAGACTGCTTGTTGAAATGATAATATTTTGCATATATCAGGTCAAATAAAATATTGTTAAGAATAATTCTATCTCTTTTTTACTTTTTAAAATTACGTACATGGCTTTCATCATTTGTGTTGGATAGTGGTGTGTCAGCAAGTATGAGCCTAAGGTGAAAACACAACTGAGTAGTATAGGTATGTAAATACTCATCTGGGTAGGGTGTTAACGTTCAAACTGGTCACCTTGGAATCCTGTATATAATTCCAGTGCTGCTTCCTTGCACAAAGTATTTTGTGGCTGCTTTTGAAATTCTTTGCCAGTTTTGAACTTCATTGGAACATCAGCTTCACTTCATAATAACTTGAAACGATATTATAGCCATTCAGAGGAATCTGTTGAATTTTAAAAGGGCCTGTACTCACTTGCATTTATCAGTGTTAGTATACTGATTTAAAAGTCTTGCCGTATACCAAATCTTACATCTTTAATAAAATAATCAGTTTAAGATTTTCTTGCTATTTAGCATGTTTATAGCCTAAAAGTTTTTTGGCAAGGTGTCAAAATACTTTATCTTATATGAAGTCAGCCCCTTAAATTAAATACCAAAACCTAAGGGGAAAGACCAAAAATAAGTTTTAAGGTATGTGTGTATTTCTTAAATAAATTGTTTTCCTCACTGAAAGGTTAAAAAAACACACAACAAAACATTAAAAAAAAAAAAAACCAGACCCATTTTCCAATGTTTTTCTTGGTTGAAAAATAGAAGAAAATTATCAAGAAGAGAAGCTCTTGGAAGAAATTCTTTTATTTATTTATTTATTATTATTTTTTTTAAATATTTTATTTATTTATTTGACAGAGAGAGATCATAAGTAGACAAAGAGGCAGGCGGAGAGGGAGAGAGGGAAGCAGGCTCCCTACTGAGCAAAGAGCCCGATGCGGGACTCGATCCCAGGACCCTGAGATCACGACCTGAGCCGAAGGCCGC